GAAATACAGCACAGATTGTAAAAGTCAGCACAGGAAACAGATGGTATTTCACAGAGCCAAAGCAGCTAGGAGAGACCTGCAGAGTGTGTGTGTGTGGTGGGGGGGCGGGTGTGGAGGGGGGCGGTGACTGAAGCATGTAATGAAAGGTAAGACTTTTACCAACAGGGTAACGAATGAAGAGGAAGATATCCCAACAGACAGTCTCTGGTATGGAGAAAATCCCAGGCTGGCTTTTGAGGAACAGGTTGACAATGTGAAAGGGTCAGAGGAAGTGGAAAACTTGACAGGTCTTTTGAGATGTACTTAAAGATGCATGAAAGTCAATTTGATGCTGGTAGCTCAAAAATAAGTAAGAATCCAGCTTCTAACACTAGGACAGCTGAAACACTTGATGTGTAGATAAATGGAGGAACCTCAGCAACAATGACTACAAATACTGACCCAGAACAGACGACCTAAGAAAAAGGTCAGGAGAACTGTAGTTTATGAAGTTCAGTATACCAGTCTATAAGGTGCTTTGACTTGGAATTTTCAAAAAGGTGCTGGTAATTTTTTTCTGAAAGGTGTTAGAGCTAAATAGATTTTCTAATATATATTCCTTTTTTTCCCACTGTGTACTTGTGCAGCTGTGTTACAACATGCTGGTTTTCTCTTCCTAAAGAACACAATTATTTCCCTTTCAATTTCCTCCTCCAACCTTAACAGGGGGAGGAGGTAGGAAAAAAAGACAAAACATCTGCATTTCTAACAGTTCCCTGTTTTATTGCAGTACATCAAAGTAGGTTAATATTAAGTGTGTTACCAACATAAAATATTGGTGGTAAGTCATTTTTACATTGTTGACTTTTCCACCTTAAATATTTCTGTGCAAAAGAATCTACATCATTGTTCTGTAGCAGAGAATCTCTTACAATGTCCCCTACAACATTGAGGGCATTAAACAAAATAGTGAGAAGAGGCAAAAAGCAGAATCTTTCCCCCACACACACACTTGTCAGCTTTTATACTCTAAAACAAAAAAGTGATTACATCTATGCCATGCAAAACTGTACAATAATATTACAATGAAAAAACCTAAAAAAACATTTTAAAAATAAATGATATGAAACTGTCATACATAAAAAGGCAGGTATAATTGCTCTGAAATACCAACACTGGTTTGTGGATTTCTTCCCTGTGGATGAGACTTTCTTAAATGCAGAATTAAATAGGTTGTACTGAGCTGTGGCTGGAATGAAAGACAGAGTTGGAATTTAGACTGGAAAGCCTGCAGCAGAGCGGTTTCTGGAAGTGTCTATCAAATACAGTGTAAACACAAAGCACGCAGAAGGGTGCAATTTGTGTTAGTGCAGGAGCTTGTCCCATTTCCTCTATGGAACTGACTCTTTTTAACAAAAAACCCCCCCCTTCAAAACACAGCAGAAGCTACTATGTGCCACTTTGATTCTCAGACTAAGGCTCAAGAGATGTGAGTACTTGCACTGCAATAAATTTTGCCCTTAATGTATTAAAATTAAATAGTGTGCATAAAACTGAAGAAAAAAAACCAAACCAAATCTCACCAAACTTTCTTCCACCCACCAGCCTGTTTGTCCTGTCATTCAGGGTCTAGCCATGCAAGACCAATATCATGCCAGAATTTGTTTCTGTGTTAACACTCAAATGGTTTTGTTTTGAAAGGCTGACACAATCTGCGAACCAGTTAGGTGCACTTAATCTACATTTCTATACACTATGCTTTTTGGACTTTTTTTGGTATGACAAGACCCTTATCTTCCCTCTACTGTATACCTGAGAATAACACACCTGGCTTATAATTTTATGAGAATCAAATAAGAGAGATAACATTCCTGACTCAGTTTTGAAACTAACATTCCTGGCTCGGTTTTGAAACTTGTTAAAATGGGCAAAATGCACATTCATAACAAGCCACAGCAACTAACTGAGAGATAAAGAAGCAACTACTTCACCACAGCCCCAGGAATGTGGTTTGTTGTGTGTGTGTGGTTTTTTTTTTTTTTTTTTTTAAACCACCAGCTTGTCTTGTACAGGTCAAAGGCAATAGAGAAGAGAGTACTATAACCCTGCTTCTGGGTTAATGAAATGTGGAAGGAAGCCACATACCTATGTGTGCATACATGCAGGGGAAAACTATTTACCAAAACTTTTCATTCTATAACCTGGAATCCTTATTAGCTGCCTGAATCTGTTCAGATCATTTGTTGCCATCAAAAAAAGAAAAAAATATGCAAAAAACCAACAACCCATATGTTTAAGTGGCGTCAAAAAATGCAAATGCCTTCAGTCTCAGCCAAAAGGAAAAAATCAGCTAGGTACATACTGTGTACAGAGAACATATGCCACAGTCAAAAAATTCAATGGGAGATTTTAAAGCTCCCTGAACAAAATGCAGCCCTCTAACTGAAGCTGAAGCAATGCTACAGTGCAAAATAGCAGACATCAAACCTTAAGAGACAACTGTCTTTGAGATACCAGTCAAGAGTCTTACAGTTCAAATGACCAAGTTACTTTTCCTAGCCCAATGAGTATTTTAAAAACTCAGCTACAGTATCCGTGTTTTTAGTGTTCATACCAACAAAAAAAAAAAATGTGGTTTCAAAGTGAGTGCATAATCAAATGGTCCCCAAATATATAAAACCATTCAAGTCCTAGGCCAGTTTTTGTCTTTTCAAATAAATGATGTGGTCATTTGCTTTTCAACTGAGAGAACAGTTGCTGTTTCTCTTTTGAACAGATGCATATAAAAATGCACAGTACCAAACTAAAGATTAAATCTAGTAATCCTAACGGAGACAGCCAAGGCTTAGAAATTGTGGTGTACAAACAGTGTAGGCCTGTGGAGCTCTCATCCTCTGGAGCTTAGTTTTGTAACACAGCTGACCTATGCTCTGCCTGAAAATGTCAGGTTTTGATAGCAACAGATTGCAGGCACCGTAACAGAGTAAACATAGGTGTTTACTCAATTTAATTGTTTGCTGTGTCATGGCTCTTTGGGTTCCATTTTCAGACAGAGCATTAGCTCAACTGCAAAAAAAAAAAAAATCCACAAAAAAGATCCTGTGACCCTCTCAGGGTACTGTCACCCAGGCTGCTCTATCTTAAATGACTGCTATTTAAATGCCTTCTCTCAACATCAAAATAAGATTAATGTTTAAATACAACATACAGTAAATACAAAACTAGTCTGCAAAGGCTTGGAAAAGTGCATGGACATGCTTCACTAAAAGGAGGGAATTGTGGGGAAAAAGCAGTGGCTATACTTGAAGCACTATGCAGCCTTTAAAAAGAAGCTGATGTGGAATTTTAATAATGCCAATAACGCCCTGCCTGTCTGTCCCTCAGAAAGACTGAAAACTATTCAGGGAGGAATTAATTTCAGCTACTTAGCTGTTTGCTAAAGCTTTTAATATTAACTGCCAGGCTTGCAAAAGTGGTAGCTTCGAAGGGAGAACAAACAGCACAACCAACTTGCTACCTGAAAAAACCCAAACAGGAGAGAGACAGGCTTTTGATATGATGGTTTCTAAAAAAAATTGAATTCCTGTCCCAAAATAACATTGAATGAACTTAAACTTGGACAAGCCTCTTGATTAAGAGTGAAAGAGAAATCTTACCTAGGAGACGCAGCATGATTAAATTACCCGAGTCTCATTACTTATTTCACATCTAGATAATACCTGGAAATTGCTGTACATGGTTTGAACTTACGTATAACTTCCATTAGGGAAGACGGAAACTGGAAACTCCAAACATGTCTGTGGGTAAAACTCTACATACTGCTGACTGCCACAACATGGAATGGTTTAATAAGAGCCATAACAAGTTTCAAACCCCAGTTATTCTAAATACAAAAAGCCCTTACATGTTTGAGTATGATCATAGTGTAAAGCCAGCAACAAAACTATTGAGAGGCTCATTTGAACACATGCCCAAACAAAAAACATATCTGCCTTGCCAACTAAAGAGAAGAGACATCTTCCTCTTACCATCTATTTGTACATCAGTTTCTCACGTTATTCTGTTGACTGCGTGACCAGCTTCAGCTTTTTTTTTTTTTTTTGTTTTTTTGCAACTTCAGTGGGCTCTGTCTTTCACCGCAATACTTTCTGCCCTCCAACACAATACTTTCTGCCCTCCAACCTGACCTGCTATTGGAACCGAACAGCAGGTGAGCACATAGAAACACCTGCAAATTGCACAAACCCACAGCATGGGTGGGGAGGGAGAGGAAAACCAACCTTGCCAGCATGGCAGTTGTGAGTGACTAGGCATCTTTGACTACCACAGTGTGAACAGTGTGAGGTCAGTCTTCAAGGTTCTTCGTTGCTACAGTGACAGCATAGCCAGCCACGGCTAGCTCCGGGCTAAGGGCACTCATTTGGCTGATGTGTATTAGCAACTAGTATTTGGTAACGAGAGTAACAGTTTTATGGTTAGGGATGGTCACGGAGATGCGGAAAACTGCTCCCTTCAAGAGTTAAACCTGGTGAAAGGCTGACCCAGGGAAACAGTTTTCCTGTTGGATCCTGCTGCGTTGAACTCCTCCCTTGCTGCTTTAAGGACCTCTCCTGTAGCGTGCTGCAAGGTTCCTCAGCTGCACAGCCAGCACACACGAAACCAGGGCAGCCGCCTGGCTGACAGGTGCTCTTGGTTGTCGGGGTAGGGGGTTGCTTTCCAATCGTCATTTTTGCAAAGGATGGGGATTAACAGGAGAGTAGGAATTATAGCTTCAGTTATGCTACCGCCAGAAGTAAAGCAATGTTGTGAAAGTACTGCAGGGACCTCTCCCAGCAGTGCAGCGAGTGCTATGCAAAAGGAATATCAGTCCTGCAAAAGGTTTTAGGCCAGGCCTCCAAGTCTGTATATTACCGAGCATGAAAACAGGGACAACACAAATCTTAAATTAAAGGCTCTCTTAAATAAGCATCCATCTTCTGCTGCATACACAATGCTTTTTTCTTTGAATATATACATACGTGTTTTACTCTAACATCTGTGTATTTATTTAAACTCTGTACTGTAGTAAAATATGCATCATTTTAATCAATAAGGATTTGCTGGCGACAATCAGATTGACATTCAAACATGGTGGCTGAAAGCTTTTATGTGCCTCTGACATACTGATCATTCCCCAAGTAGGGGAAGGGATCTGTGCTACTTTTGTACAGTACAATGAGCTATTGTATGAAAACAAAATCCCTCTGAATTTTCTCTTGTTTATACTGGTCTGGTCTACTTAAGCTACTTTTTGGGAAGTGGAAGGGGAGTGGGATAAAATATGTCTTTAAAAATGAAGCAGCTGTAACCACAAAAATGAAACCAATACTAATACAAATCTACAGCATCTGATATTTACCAACACCCTAGCTTTGCTCATTTGCTGCTGTCAAATCTGGGGAAGGGAGTATGAGGCAGTGCCAAACGGTGCTGAAGACAACCAGCTTTTACCTTCCTTTGTACCCCCCTCCCAGATCTCTTTCAGACAGGGAATGGGGAGGTCTAGGATGATGAAGGTGAGAACTGGAACAAGTGAAGGGGACAGCCATAGGGACAGCAAGCCGCTGTGATGTCAAATCTGAATGCTGAAGCAGTTCATGAGTCCCAACTCACGTGGTCAGAGCTCTCCAGGGAGAGGCTCTTGGTCTTGTGAGGAGAAACTGGGCTGGGAGGGCTGCTGAGGTTGGAGCTGTTCGATGCAGTAGAGTGTCTCGGGGAGTCGGAGTCCTGCAGCCCAAAGACAGAAGAACACGAGTAAGTAACAGGATACCAAGTTTGACAGTGACTGAGGGTGTCTGAGCAACAGGTGACTGGATTCAAAGGCTTCCATGTATTTTGCTTGTGTCCAAAAATACTGAGGCATTTTTTTTTGCTCAGAATTTCTTGGTCCAGGGAGACTTAAGAGTAAGCAGCAGTCAGATCACTCTGCTTTCAGCAGGCATAACTGATGCTGACTTAAGGGCACAGCACCTGTAGGATTCTTGCAGCCTGCATGTTGCCAAGGTCTTCTTGATCAGCAGTGTGCAACTTCAGGTTGCTTGTGAAGCTACAATGGCTCCAGCCTTTTCACAGATTATGATCAGAGATTCTCTTGCACTGAACTGAGAAACCTGTGGTACAGGCTTCATCACAGCTACCTCTTCTATGTCATTCCCAGGATATTAATGCAAAGCATCCTATCAAGATGATACTCAAGGTTGGATCTTCCAGAGTATAGCAGAATGCAACTATGTCTGAGCTTGAGTTTAGGTTGAGAGTTGCCTTCCAGCTTTAGGTGGAAGGATATATTCGGTACAATGAAAAGCCTGTGTAATATCTTTTTCTCACTCCTTGGTAAGAAAATAGGCTGGGGAGGTTTTGCTGGCCAACTTCAGATTGAACCTTCCCATGTAAAACATTCTTGGTTGAAAGGGCTGAGTTTAGTACTGGGCAGGACTTCAGTCCTGTCATAATGATAGAGTCTTGTTCTGCACAGAATATAAATTATTAAAGCCAGTTTCTGCTCTAAATGAAATTAATATATGGTAATTCTTAAATTACCTTGTTAACTTCAGGCACTCTGAGTACAAAATGTTTCCTGTGAAATGGTTGCTAAGATCACTTAAAGTCTTTGCAAATAAAGCGCAGAAGGAATATCACCACTTCAAGCTGTGATAGGTTGCTATCAAGCTGTTACTCTACTGGGCCAGTATTTCTGGGAGGCTCATTACCCACACATCTCCAGTTAAGGAGTGCAGAGAATGTTTTCTGCATCTTAAATACCAGGACCAGAGCTTGACCAAAGTCTTTTGTCAGGATGGCCTGAAATACAGGAAATCCCAGTCTTCACTGTCAATGACTCCCAAACCCATGACAGAATTTAACTTCCTCATCTTTATCAACACACTTAAAACTTTTTCCTCTTTCTCCTGTCACTCACCTCTCGCTCATAGTCCCTTGTTGGTGCATCACTGCCTTGATCCAGGCCACCAGAGGATAAGGAACCATCTGACGGAGATGCCATAGGCTGACGCTTTGCTCCATAGCTACCTCCTGAGAATTCCCTCCGCAAAGCACTGCCGTTCTGTGCAGATGATCCTAAAACATGCAGAGGAATTAAACTGTGTTACAGGCGCCCACTCAAAACTACTAGAAATTTGTTAGCTGTTTCTCTGTTTACTTCTGCCTTCCTCCAGCATGCCCCGAGATGCTCAGCTCATGGCTTACAGGCTGTGTGGGCTTTTATCTTGTCTGCTGCCGGCTGCAGTTTTTCCTAGGGATTCTCTGGCCCCTCCCTTGGCACGTCAGCATTAGCACACTTTACCCAGCAGACACAGTCACTGTGTTCCTGACAAAGACAGCAGTTGCAGAAACTGCTGTGGTGGCAGACTAGTTCCAGCCTCTTTCCCAGGGAATGGGTGGGATGTACCAGCAGGTACAGACTACAGCAGACACACATTTTCTGCAAGATGGTTGGCAACGTGCAGCAAACATGATGTGTGCCACAGGAAGGGAAAAAACCTAGAAAAGCTAAGGACACCAGTCTTGCCTCTGTTTTCACACGGTTCATTTATTATTTGCTTGCCTGGTCTCTGGCTCACAAAGGCAGCACGGCAGCACTAGGAAAAGGTGTTTCCAGTGCAATCCAACTCTTCCATACCAGCAGACAGTTTTCTATAGCTTTCTATTTGCACTAGCAGCAAGAGAGGCATCAAGAGCTCTACATGGTTCAGCAACAAAGTTAACAACCATGGAGCTTGTGAACAACTTGCCACTGATGTAAAACACTTCAGCAGCAGCAAAGTAGTCCCAAGGGTAAGAATGTAATTTTAATTCTAAAATCAGTTTTAAAAACTTGACAAATTACAAATGTAGGACTCTCAAAAGTGCTAGCTGCTTATTCATGTGCTCCTTTGAAAGGAAGATTAAAATACTGTGCTTGCCCTCCATGGGAATACAGTCAGCCATCACTTCTAAAAATCCTGTCTAGTGGCAGTACAGATAGAAGCAAATGCAGGTAGCTGTTTCCCTAAAATACTTGTGCATAGTCCCCAAAGCAACAGAGTTCTGTTTGCTTACGTGCTGCTAACCCGCTGCTTGCGCTCATTGATCGTCCTGGTTCTGTGCGGGATTTCGTGATCGATGGGATACTGACAGAGCCACTGAATACAGTCCGACTTTCCTGAGGCCGAAGATTCTGCAACGCAGACACACACAATGACATGTTTACTTATTGACTGCTGGCTCAGCCTTGGGTGTTATGAAGGAAGGCCCCAAAATACATTAAAACCCCAGGCTTACCAGAGCTGAATTATCTGGGCAGCAAGTCAGCAAAATTTGCAAAATAATATTCTGCAGTTTAGTGCAGAGACTGGAAGCACACTCAACGCGATAGTGAAGTGCTGAATTACATGGACATATGCAGACAACTGAAAGAGTATGTCTAATAATTCCAGAATTTCCTTTGAAAGGACAGTTTGCAAGCCTAATTAAGCTGATATAGATATATTCAAGTTATATTGCATAATGCATTCTTTCTGAACACAAGCTTCCAAAGATCTTATTAATATTTCTCTCTTTGATGCCATCATTTGTGCCATGCACGTGTAGCTTTACACAATAACCATGTTAATCCCTAATGCCTGCAGAGTTATGAACACATAGTGGATCAATCTGTATTTCAATTACTTATGTAATTTTAAAGGTATTGACTGCATTACTCCAGACATACACCAGTTGAGCCAAGGTGAGAATCAGGCTCCTGTTTTCAGCCTGCTCAAAGAAGATGACCAGAGCACATGCCACTGTTTTTTTCTACATATTTTGATTATTGCTCCTGTTTTGCATCCTGAGATCCAGTGTGATTTTGTAAATTGGTAAGTTACTGGACTGAAGTGGTCCTTTACTGAGGGAAAAGATAAAACACAATTTTTCTACTTGGATATAATAGCTCCTTAAACAGAAGTTGTCTTTAAAAGATAGGAAAAGAATATTTTGAAGTGACTTCTGGGAGATTTTCTTTCTGTGTCTGTTGACTTACAGCTGACCTTAGGGGAAAAGGCTTCTCAGTTTATTTAGGCCATCTCTCTGCATATGACTTGGCTTCTTAGCCCAGAGGAACTTTCTAATGCCCATGCATATCATTTCACCTCTGGCTAAATATAAGACTTCATTGTGCTCCTAACATGATTTGCACTATTAAGTCATTACACCATTAACTAAATTTAGATTTAGGGAACCTCTACAGGTACAGAATGTGAAAAGAACTGCAGGTAGCTCTGAGCATTACTTTATTTCTACTACAAAACACCCCCTGCAATAACTGTTAAGTTCTTCCTATTTATATTTAATTATTTCCCTATCCTCACTCTGAGATAAAGTAGCCACACATAAAACAAGAGTTGGAATTGCAATGCCTTTTTAAGCTATGATGTTATGGAAATTTCAGACCAGAACAAATATTCTACCCTCCACAAGGGAGCGATCAAAGATCCTCAGATCCTACCTATTTCTCTATCTCTATTTTGAAATGGATAACTAAGCAGATGCTTTGTAATGAACAGATCTTATACAGGTCAGAGTTTATCAGATAAATGTTACCAACATGATGTCAAATCCAGTCTTGCAGTGATCCTTAGTCATTGCTGTAACAGACCCCTTTGCTCTCACCGGCAACCCTTTCCTTCTCGTTCTCCCAGTGGGCTAGAAATGGCTGATTTTTAACATGCAAACAAGAAAGAATCAAAATCTCTCCTCCTCTTCCTCCTCTCTCAAACACCAACAAGAGAATCGGAGACCTTACCAATGAAAAAGCCCTGTTTAATTCTCCCCTCATCCACTGCTGCACTATTCTCAATGAGGATTTACACCTGAAGCCTTAAAAAAGTCTCTTAAATCATTTGTGGGATCATACTGCCACCTCTTGCTTACCTTCCCCCCCCCCCCTTTTTTTAATGTGAACAACCAACTTGCCTTGTAGTACAAAATAGTAAATTTCTGCTCCTGGGTCCTTCACCAGGCAATAAACAATCCGAGTTACAGATAAGAGTATGAGCATCCTGGCTGTACATAAACAATGCAGGCTCCCCTGAATATCTGCAAAGGAACTAATGGGCTAAGGCATAAGTTCCTGCTGTGTTTTGAGAAACAAAGGAGAGCCAAGTGCAGCACCATTCAAATGTGTGCACTGTGGTTTGTACACTGGAGTTGCAAAGAAGGTCTTTTGTACTTGTCTAAATCTACAATGGCTCATTTTGCAAAGAGAACAATTATGTTTAATGATAAAGCAATTAACCTCCTTAACAGTGACTGAGCAGACAATGCACAGGCATCAGGGGAAGAAGGGGACAGGTGGGTGCATGAAAAAAACTCATTTATTTCAATAATGTATAGTCTAATTGCGATTATTTTTTATGACCTCAGTCTGCAAAGTCCATGTAATTCCTCGTAGAAAGTTTCTCCACAAAGCAAATATTTCATTGTTCTTTGTTCTAAAAATAAAATAAGCACATGCCAGAGACCCTGGCATTTTGGACCAAAACCCCTGGAAGTGATATGCACATGATGCAGAAAGGGAATTCAAAGAAAAACAAATGGCAGTTATTAGCAGTAGTTATAAAGCAGCAAAATGCAGCAAGTTAAAAACAGAGAAAATAAAAAAAAAATAAACCTGAGCTTGCTTTACTTAGAGAGAGAGACAAAAACCCCTCATTTAGAGCAACAATTCAAATCCTAGCAGGAAAATTCATCCCCAAAAAAAAAAGAAAGGTGAGAGAAGAGGAAAAAAAACCAAACCAGCAGCAGAGAAGCTGCTTGCTGAGCAAAGTTAAACACTGTGTTAATCATGCTGCTTCTTGTTGTTCTGGGGTTTTTAAGTAGCCTTCTGTTAATCACATTATAAACCCGAGCTTTTTAATTCTTCCATGAAATAACATGGCAGAATCTAAAAGGCTACTTTAACGGGTCATTTTTCAACTCCCCTATGGATTCCATGCTGTTATGGTTCCAATATCCCATCCGTACCTGGGACCACAGTCCCCTCAGAGGGAGTGCTAGCCTTCTTACACTAAAATCTCCAAACACAAAGTGGGGATGGACAGACACGACACTCACTCACAGCCTTGCTTTCCCTAGAGCCTACAGCATCTCTACCCACAAGCCACAAGGGAGAGAAACCCTTTTCTTCCTACAAGACTAAACCTCTAGCGCTCTAAGGAGCTACAAGATCTCAACACTCCGGGTTGCCCACTTTGCTTTTTTTTCTCCAATTTACACTAGTAGGCTGCAACATTAGGATGAAGGACACTCTTAAAACAAAAATTGTCTGAAACACCAGGGGTCATTCCTCACTGATCCCAGGAACACTACTCACATGAGAAAAGGAAGGTGGGAAGGTAGGAGGTGGGTCACAGTCTGGTGATACATCACTGCACATTCATCACAGAGAATTTTATAGTACAGTTGTATTTAAAAAAAAAAAATCTGTTAAAGCCAGAACTGAAATACAGCTTCAGGGACCCTATAATGACTCTCTAAAAGAGAAACAAATTTCAATTTGGCTTAACAATATTTTTTTTGCATTTCAGTAGAGCATTCCTCTTGTGTATTTGCATCTCTTCTCCTACCAGAAAAGTCAGGATGGATGCAGACCTGTCATTACAGGGCACATTTTCCAAAATGCTACAACTTCATTTTTGAATATTAATGGTTGTAACAATTGGGACTTCACAACAGCGACACATGACCACACATGCGACCAGTCAAAGCTTAGCTGTGCAAATTTGTTTTGGAGACATATGGAAGAGATTAATTTTCCTCCTGCAATTTTAAATTCTCTCTAGTGTTGTATGCAGGTATGTATCCAAAAACCTTCGTGGTGACAGGGATCTAGAACACCAACTGAAAGGCACTCAAAGCAGCCTGGCAGTGAAGGTTTGCCATGCGTCTCTGAAGGGTGTCCAAAGGCCACAGAAACCAACATCAGTGTTTCCATTACCGCAACGGACACAGCTCAGACCCACAAAAACCCTGAGCAACCAACTACCATCGCATATATCTACCTCCCAGATTATTCCTGATTTAACTGCGAATCTGCCCCAAGCAGAACTGCGGGCCACAGCACAGTCCATGTACTTGCGTGCCTGTTTTACTATGGCTTCTATTTCTACAGGACCTAGCAACCCCACGTAGTCAGACCAGGACGTGCAATACATGAAAAAACCACTTCCACACCCCTAGTTTACATTCCAACTGGAAGAATACCTACAGAACGGTATTTTACTTCAGCTTCTGCTTAAAACCACCAGGATTAGGAGGATCTACATCAGCAAGTTGCCATTATCTTTTAATTTTGATCCTTCTTGTACATGTTCTAACTTCACTTATTAACTCTCACCTGGAAACTGTCTGAGGCATAACCTGTGTGTCTCTCTCTCTCAATCTGTGTACAGTACTGTGTAAAAATTCTTGCACACCCCATGATTTCATCATAAACAAACCGTGTGAAAGTTTGGTCCAACACAGACAGATCCAGAACCTTTTTCTAATGCAACCTGATATACAGCGTCCTGCCACTGACTCCTGGAGGATCAACACTGTGGAACACAGAACTTACAATTCAAATTTCCCACATCCTTCCTGGTGATTAAAAATGCTATTCCCGTAGCAAAAGGTTCAGCCCAGTTGTTATAAACTTCTTTTCTTTTTTCTAAAGCCATGAATTATTTGTTTCTTGGTATGTCAGAGGTGTGGGAAGACCACAGCTAACAGCAGAAAATAAATCAGCTGGGATAGAAGAAAGTTAAGGGGTGAAGGAAACAGCTTACAAGGGTTTTTCTCCCATGTTAATAGCCAGGCAAAAGGAAAACCACACAGTGTTAGTAGAGTGAACACCTGACTCAGCTGTTCATACCCTCAGAGTCATAAAGTCTGGAGTACCAAGGACAGAGCGTGGAGGCGGGGAAAATGCAGGGTTTATGGAATCGTAAGAGAGGAATTTTTCAGCAGAATTAACAGTCATGTGGTAGATGTGCTCAAAGTTGCTCGGAGAGGAGATCAGACGGGAGTGATGATGAGGGAATTGATAAGGGGAACGCTGCTATCAAAGACAACAGAGAGAGAAAGCAATGAAGGATGGTTGTACAGGTTACATCAGCAACAGCAGTCCGCAAGAGCAGTCAAACACTGAAGGACA